TACCACAACGATTGCAAATGTGATTTCGGAACGGGCATTTTCGACCAAAGTGCCATTCCCTGCAAAACCAACAAGCAGAAGAGGGTTTAGGATGTGGTGAACTCATATGAACCGATTCTTTCTGAGGACTTCTGCTGACCCTGCAAATGATGTCCTGACTACTCTGGATAGAGGACTGTTGGATCATTGCAGCATCATGCTTCAAGCTCATCAACCGTTGGCATTCGTTCGTCACTTCCTGCAGTGTGATCTCGGGATTTTGTTCAATTCTGCTCAGTACTGTTGTTCGGGCATCCGCATCTTTGGTTGCTTGAAGACCACACACATAAATAAGGCACTTGTACTGATCAGCTGTCATCTTGTGAAACAGCGACCGTTCACACCCACGATTTACGCGAATCGAGTAAGTAACCCAGTCTTCGTCGTCTCGCTTGGTCATTGTCAGGCTCTTGTATCGGATATTGAATAATGACGACTGCTCTCCAAATATCTGGGACAAAGTAGCAACCGCTTCATCGAATGTTAAATCAGTGCTCTTTTTCGGCAAGATGAAATTCATAAACTTTTCGTGCTCGGCCGCACCCAATTTCTGCAGCATGAGGCGTACTCTCTTGTCCTCTGAAGCACCGGCTAAATCAACGCGAAACAGGTCTTCGTATTTATGGAACCACGATTCAAAGGTAATACCGGCATCAGCATCGTAACGGAACTCACAAACTTGCTGGGTCAAGGTTTCTGCTGAGGGGCAACGTTCACTTGTTCCTGTTACCGAGCCTGCCTGTAGTGACAAATTCTTAGCCAGCGTTTCGATCAACTTGGCCTGTGCTTTCTCAAACTGCGCCTGCTGTTGCTGCAACAGAGACTGCAATTGCTCAAAACTGACTGACATCTTTGGGTTCTTCTGACTCCTGTCGCCACTGTTGTAACGCTTCTTCTTACCTCTGCTCTCTGCCACTGACGACTGTTGTACTGTTGCTAGCTGCCCTGTGAGACTGCGACTGTCTGACTTCTCAGTCACGCGCCCAACCAACCGAGTGAATACAGAAAACCAAGGCTCGGTAAACAGGGAGTTTATCTACACCATAAGTTAACTGTATTTATAGGTAGCCGAAACATGCTAATTTAGGAGGTCAAGATCGCTCATTTTTGTGCGTCCGGTTTTCAGCCAGTGTGAGTGAGTTCCACTCCACGCGTTAGTAATATCGACGGTATAGTTCGATTCGTTTTACACGGACTGGTAATTGCTGGCCGATCAATTCTCAGTCGATACCCAACTTTAGCTCTGCTTACGTCTCTATTACAATCAATATGGAATTTGAAGGAAAATAAGCACTCAAAATGGACACGAAAAGTTTGACAACATATGAGAACTGAGCAAATCAAATTAAGTAGAATACATTCCATCCAGGTTAAAAAGACCTGGTTTATATGTAAATCAGTGTAGCCCAACTGCGGCGAAGGAACATGATGTATGCAACATCAATCTCAGCCTAAGGCAACGTATACAACCCTAATAACATTTAGACTGGTTGGACATATCATGAAGACCGCCGCACAAGAGCGCAGTCGTGGTCTGGTTACTGCTTCAAAGTAATCCTGGTTGTTCAGAGCAGTTCGTGAAAGTAAGTAAAGCCGTGAAACAACTTGTCTGTCATGTGCGTTGGCGTCCTGGTGGTTCGACTCTTCCATCTTCCCACCAATGCTCAACACGTATGTGCGGTTGCTTGCGGCACACGCTATTCACGCCTTGCAAAACTGGTTAAAACGCGATGTCGCTGCACTACAGACCCCGCAGCGAAGGATGACCATAGTCATCTAGGGCTTGTTCCATCTGCCGTACTAACGGTAACCATAAGCGCTAGGAGTGTACAGCGGAAATTATCGCCATCTACGGAGTGATCTATTTCTGACGTATTAGATCTTGAAAAATCCTAGTCACGTTTTTCGCCACGTTAAACTTATACGCAGCACAAAATTGAGGGGCCACCAGTTTAAACTGATCACGCAATACGGCCGACTGGATTGCCGCCGGAAATTTTTCCCTCAGAATTTTTCTGCCGACTTTCGTCATTTCTGTGCTCACGTTATCCACTTAAAAAATGTTTTGCACCATAACTTCCGCTCATCGATTGACGACATAACGCATACAAACATTGTGCCCACCAGCCCGCTCCCCCACGAAATCGCGGTAGATGGATTTACACATGTGTCCACGTGGATATTATGAGGAGTCTACGGAAACGGTTTATTTACTGTCACCTATTTTGTGCTTATTTTCACACAGACCGTCTCACGGGCCTTGGCATACGTTGGATTTTCTGCCGTGTTACACCGTTGTTCCATCGTATATATCGCGTTTCCTCTAACGGCACCTCTTATATGCCCTACATCATCTCCACTAGTGAGTACAGTGCTATCACACAATTGTTTCTAGTATTGATTGTAATAAACATATTAATGATAGCGGCAATATTGGTAGTAAAACCACATTGCTAATAACCGTTAACCGAATCGTCTTAAGGTCATCTTTTGCTTTGTTCACTACATTCTACAGACCTGCTCAGCTCTGGAACAGCAGTCGGGTAAACCTCTGTTGGATTCCGTCTCCATCTCACACCTAATGTCAACTCAGGAGAGACGTGATCCGATCGAGTCATGGGATGGTGGTCAGGGTGGCAGAGGCAGGATTCGTCCTGTCGCGAAACTACCTTCAGGACTCACCAACAGCTTGGAATTGAATCGGCACTTAATCTTTTGGGCCGCATCGAAAATCCAGCAGCTGTATAAGGTCAGTCTGTTCGCCACTACAACTACTGTCCGTCATGACTTAAAGCATGTCTGCACCCGTCTCCTATTTAAACTGAGTGCATTCGGTGAGTCCGTCGTCACCGCGTCTCCTTCAGGAGCAGATGTGACCCATGTTTTCTACCTGGAGATAGTACTGCTATGATTAAACTTCTCAAGAAAGTAAACGGGTAGCTTCATACTCTAACACTGCTCCCTAAACTGTTACTGCGGTTCATCATCTTTTCACTCGTTCGAGTGCTTCCACTGATGGTATGCGCTTCGCTTTATTCGATAGATTTTTGGTGCTACTTAGAGCAACCAGCTCACTTGTCAATGAGAAATATTTATTGTGGTGAAATGAATTTTGTGACGTACCCTGAAGACATTTCTTGTCTCGCATCCCTACTATCTTTACAACTAATGGAGCTGACTACATTGTTTGATGACTAACTCTCCGTTGTTTTCTCCTTACGTTAGTGGTCATAAAACGAATCGTACCCTACTCCTTTAGTTACCCACTTGGGCGCAACAACTGAAGTATACAAATGGCGATTCTATCACACATTCGCCCCACATGTTGAGAACGACATGTTTCTGTTCCATCACGCACATACTTGACCTATCGGACGATTATAGAGGCATTTCACACATGCCTACGGAGCTGGACATACCGAAAAGGGGCGGTGCACCGCCATTCCCTGTATCCCAGGGAACTTAACCGCAGACTTGTAAGAGTAGGGTCACGAGTTGTATCCCTCAGGGCCCAAACGGACTGCGCACTGTTTACATTTCCCGGAAGGATTACACGGTTATACAATGCCTTCCGGGAATGTGACTGAGTATGGTACTTGTTATAACTTCCCTCAGGCAGTATTCTGGTCAACAATTGCCAGTTTTCTGCAAAACTTCCGGCCAAGCTTTCAAAAATAGTATACCGAACAAAATGACCTGTTAGCTTAAAGCGCTGCTAAAAATGATGGTCCGGTCAGTCGGTTCTAACGATGCACTGATGGTAAGATCAGTTATATCGGGTCGAGCGTTGCGTTACGTGTACCGGAGAGCATACTCTTGCCTTCAGTGCTTTAAGCTACTTCAACAGGCCTTGCGTTTCCTTGGACAGTATTGCTGAATTTAACTGGCGTGTGCTTCAAGTTCGCTTTCGTGTGGGGAATTTTCCTTGTTTAGTAGCTGTTAATCCTGGGAATATTCCGATTTGCTCAACAAAGTTAATCTGGTGTCCGCGTCGAAATTGGTGAGGACTTCATCTTTTCCCCAAGTTGTGTTTTAGTGGGAAAGGGTTTTACATTCCTTACCTTATCGGTGATGTTCATATTTGGCACCTGTTCAGTGGGTCCGAAGATTTGTTTCACAATGTGTCTCACTACTAATCATCTCATCAGTGCACATAGGACAACCAACCGACTTACCACCTTGTACTACAAAGAAATACGCGCTGATTATACCACTATAAATGTTATATTCGCAGTGCGAATTCTTGGTGGATTGTACATCCGCGATACGCTAGTGTCCTTTAGTTTAGGAGAACTATACCTTGCTTCTGTTATCACTTCTTCGTGCGACATTGTATTCAGCTGACTAGCCGAAATCATTTCTGTTGTGTCGGAGCCCCGCGACTGCTTCCACCCACTAACGTTAGTGAGAACGCGAACGATCAGGGACAGAGATTCAGGGGTTTTTACATAGGGAAACCAGTTACTTATATAGCATAACGCACAAAACATGAAAGCCAACCAGGGTGCGGAAAGCAAGCGGACAATTAGAGCCAATAAGAACGGAATAAATGGGGAACCAATCAAGTGCACACAAAGGACGTAAGGTGAGAGTGATAGCGTCAAAGTATGCCTGCGATCTGAAGGCAAAAACCGACTACAAATAGCCAATAGGGATGACGAAATGCTGCGTTAAAACAAACATCGGTGAACCTCCATGGTAGAAAGAAAGTCTGCAGTCATGAACGGCTACAGATGCATACCTGTATTTTACTTGCACCCCCAACAATTTCCACTTGGGATCTTGGTTCAACTTTTGTCTTACTGTAACATGACAGAATTTAGCTTTTTAATCGTCGGTTTAATCGATCACTAGACTGCTGTTTGGAACGGATTGATCGGAATCGAGACATCCTTTCCAGGTCCCGTTGTGACCGTGGGCTGGATTACGGTACTCTATACCTACGTCTATGTGCCTATTTGGATTCCCTATTGGCCAACGGCTAGTGAAATGTTTGGTGACCCGTCTGCACTACTGAGGCGCAGAGTTCGCGGAATTTCGCTTACCTTAGCACAGTGGGTTACCTTATTAAGTACCGAATATCGGGGCTTACACACCGCAGCAATAAGCAGAATAGATCTGTTGTGAATCTGCATTCCAAATTAACTCCTTTTCTACCATTCACATTCAACCACTGCTTTTCAATTCAGATTCTTATTATTCTTATGGGATGAGATAAATCTGCGTCACTGCGGGCTTATCGCGCTTTATTTTCCATTTGTCACCAGGCGTTCACATCACTAGTTTGACAACTACTGTCTTTTGTCTTACAGAATGCACTGAAAACGCCACCTCACTCACTGGTGTCTGCTAAGGGAACACTCCACAAGGCGTGCAGTGGCATTGAACCTCAACCATCACTAAACGATCTATCACCATCCATCACTTCGAATACTAACGAGGCTGCTGAGGAACGTAATAGTACTTTCCGCATTCAACACTCCCTCCATAACGTCGGATCTCAACCTGTACAACTCGTTTACGATTCATAGCAACCGTTTCCTAGGCCCAAATCCGGCCTGTACTTTCTCCCCTGTGGTCCGTCAGTCACTCATCCTTACTTACTATCTGCGCTCGGTGTATATCCTTTGTGTGTGTGCATTTTTACTTGATGCTTGCGGTATCTGTTTGCATTAGCGTTGCCAGTAATTCAGGGAGAACGTGGATACCTTCACCCCTTTTTAGCGTGATCTCACTTGCCTTTCCTGCACACGTTCCGGGCCATGTTTTCTTCTCGATTAGACCACTTTCCAAGAGACTATTTATGCGCGCTTCACCAACTGGGATCTTTTGATTAACTTACCGCTGGTATGCGGGAATTAGTCCTGCTTGCGCTGTACTGTATTGCATTTGGCGATGTTTGAATAAAGTGGTTGGTGACCGAGATGACACCACGATCGCTGTGTGGAGAGTAAAATCGGTTTGTGAACGTACACCGCGCTTGTATGTGCTCCTATTGGATTTCTCGTGCTCGGACTGTTCGGGCATTTTGTCCAGCTTACCGTCAAGGTAGCTCCGCTCCACAGCTCTTATCGGTGTCTTACCCCCGTCGTGAGCTTGGAAAAACATCATTTCTCCATTCGATCCACTTGGCAAATGGGTTATAGTACCAGTTGGGAAAATCCGATTTTCCATTTGCGTGAACTATCGGAAGGTGATAGCTTACCGCTCAATGTCGTCAAAATAGAGCGAGTCCGTCCAGATCATCATTTGCCATGATCGGTATATGTCGAGTGACCGCAAAGCAGAAATACATGTTTTTAGTGTTTTTCAATGACATCCCGCTGAAGGTTAGCACAGATAAACTGAAGTGCCTTTGTCCCTCCTCATATTGTGACTATAAACTCCATGGCATGCATGCCATCATTTTCCCGGGCTAAACGCCGACTTGCTAGAACTGCTTTCCACTTGGAAAACAAGTGCGGTCAGAGAAATTCAGGTCTGTTGAATAAATTGGATGAATAACGAGTCGGCACTCACAGTCAATAGTTCTTGCCCACATAATTTCTGATGTGTGTGTACCGGAGCGTCATCCTGATTTCCAATTTTGTCTGGGACGTTGCACTAGGTCAGCTTAATAGCTCGAGCATTGCACTGATGGCATTATCTTCTCGGTTGAACGACTAACCTTGACATGCTTCCGGTGCTTGGACTGCTCTTTTGCTTCCGACTGATAGTTGTTGATCCGGCAGTGATCCATAGTAATTAATCGAACAAGTAAGTTGCCTTCATTAATTTCACACAGTCCCGAACTGTTCTTTGACAGTCGTGCTTTCGCTCTAGAGTCAGAAAACGACACTCTCAGCCAGCAGAAGCTTCAGAATATGACCGGCACACCTCTATAGAATGCCCAGTCTATCTGCCAACTCATGTGCTTGCTTTTGGCGATCTTGTAAGCTTATATCTACAGCAAAACAAGGATTTTCACACATGATCGCACTTGATGGTGTCTTTGACCTCGGTTCACCAACAACACTTTTTGCCGAGCTTGAGTTCTTGTACTCAGCGTTCGGCTGTTGCATGTAGTGGGGCATTATGATGTAAACTTTTGCGCACGTTTTTGCGGATTTCACTTGACACCTTTTTCCTTGAAGCGAAAATATCTGATCACGATCCTCGGGTTTTTTCACTTCCGTCAATTTACTGAACCCTAAATACTTCAAACCTCTGCAGACAGAAAGCGGCCTCAGATATTTCTGCACCGTACATCACGATAAAAATACGTTATAGGTTATAAACATTATCCCCTGAAATTTATTTATTTATTTTCCGAACTTGGCTCAAAACTGTGCAGTCATCTGTGGCATTCCATAGCAGCTGCAGGAACGCTTGTTCCTATACAGTAGAAAAGTAAAGTATGCGTCATCAGTACTTGGTAGCGACGCTCTGTTGCCACGCGACCACTAGTTAGGTTTGGGCCGAAGATAGTACCACGCCTCCCGCGTCTGCGTAGGCTCGATCCGCTAGCTTTTGATTTGGAAGCCGGACGCCTGAGCCTTCCGTTAGTGTGGCATTTAGCGTATCGGGAAGCGACTAATCGCGAATGCCTGTGCATGTCCGTTAGTCCACATTGCGGGACTTTTAAATCGACCGTTGCTTATTCCCTGGAACCTCATTCTTTCCTTATCTGCCGCAACTTTTTTAGTTTCTACTGAATAGTTTCCACGTTCTGTTAAATTGGACTATTTACGAGATCACAAGTGCTGTTCTCCGTCGAATATTTGAAAATGAACTTTGAGATGCCGCGCGACTACACAGTTCGTTGCTTTCGATCGTGAAATTGTAAGCACGTGCAAAAATCACCAAAAGTTTTTTTGTGACTTGGCGACTCATCATCACGATTGACAAACTGGGTTTCGATACTGTGTCATCAACAGCATCGAAGTACCGGTGATTCGTTTATGCAATCGTTGCCTGCAAATTTTTGCAACCTATTCCAGTCACAGCGGTGTATTCAGTGCTCTTTTTCCGTTTATACGTGTTTGCATTCTCTTCCTCAGTAGCTGTTCTAAAATACCGACAGTGAACCCACTCGGGTACATAAAGGCTATGTTGACTTGACTCCTCCTTCGCAGCCTACCTGCTCTAGCAAAACCATCGTATGTTTACTCTACTTTTCTAATCTTATGAACAGCGCTGTTGGTCTAATCTAGTTTGTGGTCCGCGGTCGGGAGCCTGGCAACGAGAACAAAAGGCTGGTGACACCACTTGGGTGACCAGATGCACCGGGCGTCACGGCATTTGTCGCATTTTACTGAAATGGGGTCGCGTGCGCAGTATATTGGACGAACGTTTAGCTCCCCTGTTGACAAGGTAGTCCATTCATAACTACTGGCAAAAGGGCGCTTTAATCGCATCCGCGAACAGGCGTTAATTATCTACTTTGCTAAAAATATCCGTTGATGGATTTGAAGCGGTCCAGTAAACAATGAGGAGATGTTCTGGGACTTTGTGTTGCGTACGCAAATCGTGCATCGGATGCATCTCCAACCAGTGCTGAATTAGAGCCAGGAGCAGTCATTCTTAGCAGGTTCGACACGTTGCTCATGGATGGAGTGGCTCATCCACCATAACAACCTTTTGTGCAGTTTGCGAATGCTGTGCAAACTCTGATGATTACCGGTGAAGGCTTTTGCTTTTTCGCGCACGAACTAGCAGTGCTGCGAATCATAATGAAATGTGCGCGCAAATTGTGAGAGCAAACGCATCGTGTTTGCATGCGAATCCGCACTACATATCATCCAAGTTCCCCTGGGGCGATCGACATCCAGAATGTCTGGTGGAAACATCGAGCATCATTTTGAATAATTGGTTGCTCTTTCCCAACATTGGGGCTCGCGAAGTAAACGCTTGACCGAGACAAGACTCGTGGCATATAAAATCCCCTATTAAAATACTGTTGCGTTACGTTTAGCAATCTTCCTAAATGTGACTTGAAGGCCATAGGAGATGTTCAACGTGCGTTCACTAAACGCATTTTGGCCAATTTACACTTGATTCTTAAAAAGTCAGGTGCAATGTACTAAAATTTAAGCCTTTTTTGGTTGCGTAGATTACCTTTGTGTTATTCTGGTCAGATACTAGTTGTAAGCGGTGGCATGTATGAAGCATACCCAGTATGCGAATACGTATAACAGTCAGATCGACTGGATCCAACGTGTGTTGTTAAGAGCTACAAAGAATGAACGCCATTTAAGCAAGAGCAGACAGTAGTATACAGCGTAACTCACGGAGAGAGCAAGTGAATCAAATGTACCCTCAGTAAAACCATTGGACGATCGAATGAGACGGACAAGAATAAAATTTAATGTCAAAATGATGAAAACTGGGGTCTCCGCCTAGAAGGCTGAGTGAAGTCTTCGAAAGAAATGTCAGCTGAGGAGCAAGTGAAGATCGGAGAGTAGGGCAGCAAGCGGACAGAACGGGGGCGCGGAAATTTCGCTGGGTCCATGCTTCTTTGTTATTCATTGCTTGGGTGTGGACTTGATTGCATCGTTGGTGATACGTCGGGGCGGGCTGGTCGGACTCCAAAAAGAACTGGTTGGCCCAGAAAAATAGCTGACAGGGCATTTCCTCCGGTGCATGCCCGATGGTGCGCTTGGGAGGTGTCACACCCCCTCATTGCACCCCAGTCCGTGGCCAAGACGGTTATTGTCCTGCGGCTTATCCCAGTTATCGTCGTAGGTATAACCTAGCCAAGCGCTCTCGGGCCAGACTAGCCGTAGCGTGGGGTATGACGGTCGCTTGGAGCAAAAAGGAGTACGCTTTTACAAATGCTTTGGTCCCTCTTGTCCATTTGCGAAACATTTGTGGATGAAACGCAATTAACGTAGAAAGTGAATAATTTGCGTTCTAACTCAAATAGCAAGCGTTAACAAAACCTGAAAAGCGGACTGAACCTTTGACCTGTCTGCCGCGATGATCAGTTGCCTGTGGTTGCTGCTTAGTTATTGGAAGATCAATGGTGACAGGGATCTGGGGTGCCTTGTGCGGAAGACGCAGCTGCGCTTAGGTTTACCTGTGCGGCTGTACCAAGTGAGGTTGAAGGCAGATCTTCGAAGAATGGACACCGTTTTTCAGTGACAATTCCGGTCTGGCGCAAAGTGCTTATATGTTCATTAGCGGATTCTGAAGCAGGCTGTGCAGGGCGACGCCCTGCACCTGTACGAACAAAAACCTGAGTGCATGTAGAGAGCTCGCTGTGTATTGGCACATCTCTTGTCTGCTAACGAAGAGGAATCGTGCGCTGAGAGCACATGCGTTGAGAAAGGGAAGTTACGAAATTGGCCGGTGACATACACGATGGGGTCGAAGTGAACTCTTCTGGTATCTTAAGCGTTGTGCCTTAGATGCATTGTGCCCACGCTGTACGACCACTCTTTAACTCGGCTATCGCTTCCCCCTCTGTGGCCACTCTGATTCTCCCCACACACTAGTGTGCGTGCGCCCGTTCTAACCAGTTCGATGAGCTCGACTCGGTGCTTCCCACTTCTTGGATCTTACTTGTGTGGATTATACTGTTGGGCGGAGCCTTGGATACTGGTCGGTAGGCAATGACACGTAAGACGTGTCAAATACGAGACAGTATATAAGTCAGAGGCGACTGAACCCAACGTATATTGTGCAGGCTACAAAAACAGGAAGCGGATCAGCCAGAGCGAGAAACGTGCAGCAAGGTACTCACCAAAACGGTTTGTGGTAACAGATGTGCAGTCAGTAAAACAAATGGACGTTTTGAAGGTTAAAACAACCGTAAAATCCAAGGTTGCCAAATACTGAAAGGGCGTGTTTTCCGATACACTACAAGGGCCTCCCTTAGAAGGCGGAAGGATGGAATCCTTCGATGGAGCTGTTAGTGGGGGAAAACGAAGGTGAGGATGGGTAC